GATGAAGGTTTATTCACCTTTATTTAATGAATTTATTTACAATACAGCAAAACACAGATAAACTGGAGACAAATGCATTACAATACAATCCATGTACACACTGAAAAATTCCTAATTCACATACAGAGTAATACAGCAAAACACAGCAGCAAATGCAAATACAGAACAATACAAGCCAAATACGTATTAACAGAATATAACTATTTCTACAGTTCTGGAAAGGTCAATACATGCTGTTTCGTTATTACTGCTATGCCAAACCACAAGGAGCACACAGAAAACACAATACTCATTCGCCACAGAAGCCGGCTTCAGCTCGCACACGTACTCACCTTCACTCTCCTCTCCACCGCCCCATTATAATCCTGCTGTCGTTGGTCCTCGGGAACGTGGTTCCCGGGAGCCTGAAAATGAGCCTGCCTGACGAAAACCTCGGCCCGGGGCCGGTCCGTGCCCAAACTTTGGCGATGACTGTCGCCTCGCAGACCGGCCGGGACCGAGGAAAAAAAACCCCAGCTGGGAGGGAAAAAAAAAAAACCCCCCCAGCTGGGGATTTTTTATTCTAAATTTAAAAGTGAATTGCAAGTCCTGAAAAGCAAAAGCCATACAGACAAGGTTAGAACCACTCGACACACATGCACACAAGCAGACCCAGACCCACCGACTCTCACAGACAGACACGCTCTGACATGCAGCAGGAGACTAACTCACACAGTGACTGCAACCCTTATTTGAAACACTCTGCTGAACAAAATGCCCTGACATATCTTCTCACTGCTGCTTCTCAACATCAAATGGTAGATCCTCAGAAAATAGGCATCAGAGACCTGCAAAACAACAACACAAGATGGTCAGTGAGGGATTCTATGGTAGCTATGACTCAGCCACCCTCAAGGCCCACACATTTTTTACACAAAAACCTCATAGAAAAGAGGAACTGTAACCTTTTATACTTGTTCCACCTAACTAACTATGTGCCAGGGCAGGGCAGCTCCAAACCAATGGAAGTTGAGTTACAGAGGCAGGCACAATGCAGTTAAGTTAAGTTAAGCTGAGTTACAGAGGCAGGCACAATGCAGTTAAGTTAAGCTGAGTTACAGAGGCAGGCACAATGCAGTTAAGTTAAGTTAAGCTGAGTTACAGAGGCAGGCACAATGCAGCTAAGCTGAGTTACAGAGGCAGGCACAATGCAATTAGTTTTACAGAGGCAGGCACAATGCAATTAGTTTTACAGAGGCAGGCACGGTACAAGGCAGTCACAGGCGATGTCTGCCGGGTGAACGTGGCGATAGCTGCGGACGTGAAGGCCGGTTCCTCGGACGAAAAAATCCACGACGACGTCGAGAGGCTGAGATGGCCGATGACGTGAAACACGAGAGAACGAGAAGATGGATTGGAACTGCCCTGCCCGGCAAAAGCTCTGGGGAGCTTGCAAAGAAACCCTCTCCCTTGGCTTCAGAGGGGCCCATCCCACTACAGCCCTGTCCTCTAACTTAACTTCAAAATGCCAACTCACCTGCTCATCTCTGCTCCTTGCCGTGCTCGGGGCAACGCCGAATCCTGCAAAGACAGAAAAGAAAAAAGCACTCTGAGTTACTGTCACAATGCACAAGGTGGAATTCCTGATGTGGTTCCTTTATTCCATCTTGGACTACAAAAGCTTGTCAGCCAACCAGGGACTTTAAACAGAAGAAAAACCACTCAGTCCCACCTCTCATACCCAAAGATCCCCTGTAAAGTTCTGAAGACAGAGCCCTCAAACGAGTGTGGGGTGCTTTGCCCTGAGGCATGTGCAGTTTTTAACAAATTCGAGTCACCTCCCTTGCTTTCTAGACACTGCTCACCAACGTGGCAGGCTAGGGGCGGCTGAGGCGAAACGTCTTTCCCCTGATAATGACTGCACAATAAACCTGCAACCCCTTCTGTCTCTCAGAATCCTGTCCGTGACACCGATTCGTGTCAGGATCCACAAGGTGGGATTTGTGATGAGGTTCTTTCATTCTATCTTAGAGAACTGAAGATTAGCAGCAAACCAGGGACTTAAACACCAAAACACCCACAGAGCATGCACCCACCTGTCCTCCAGCATCCTGGGCTGGGATATCTTGCAAGTAGACCACCTAAAATAAAAAAAAAAACAAGGGATTAAAGTTATAGCAGAAACAGAGACCCCAGCAAGAACAACTGCTTCCCTCCACCAATCGAGGCTGACCTTCCACCTGCTTCGCCTTACCCGCTGCTTTCCAGCTTTACTTCCTAGAAATAAAGACAAAGAGCACAGCTGTAACACAGTGACCGGTTCCAGCCCCGCTGCAAAGTAAAACCGTGACCGACCTCCTCAGGGGGACCCCCTCATCTGGGACAGGTGCTCTGCCACGAGGTCAAACCGTCTGCATCTGAAAGAAAGTTAGGAAAAAAGTCAAAGTGCTGCAGGGTAACTTCACAGCTCCAGACACCTGCTGCAAACAGAAGAATACCACCTAGACTCCAACTACAGCCCGTATTACAAATCTCCAATTACAAGTGCCCGGGACTTGTCCTTAAACACCTACAACCGGGCTGGGCGGCAGGGCAGAGCAGCTCCGGACCAAATACCCCCAGACACCCGTGACACGTGAGACGAGGGGACGTGACAGGGAGAGAAAACTCTCTGAGACAAGAAAGTCCTCACGAGGACCGAGAGAATGCTGAACGTGATGACCGAGGAGGGACCCAAGGCGAGCCTGCCGGGCTCGGATGACCCCGGAGGAAAAAGATGCTAATGGAACAACTTTTTCCAAGAACCGCAGAGATGGATGCCTGAGAATCCTGTGGCTGGAAGCCTCTGCCTGCCTTTGAATCGGCACAAGTCCTTATCCACTGTAAAAAAACACTGCTGCATATAGCTGTCGACACAGCTGAGAACAAGACCTAAAAAAACATCCGATCACATGCTTCTAAAGACTGATGCAATTCTGACACGTGTCAGAGCTCCCGAATCGAAGCTTCGCCGGCGCCGCGCCGAGGAACGCAAAGATAGGAGACGAACAGAAGGACCCCGGGGTTTCTCATAAGCTCCTGGGAGGGCTAAGGCAAGAGACATGTTACACGAGATGCACAGAAGACACAGAAGGCACGAGAGACAAGTGACAACACACCCTGGGACTGCTCTGCCCTGTTCGCCTCAGCGTTACAAACCAAAGTGAGGCTTCCCCTCACTGGGGCCTATGGGGTCATTTCCAGAACCTCCCCATCCCCAAAGCTCACTCAAAAACCCAAACCGATCTCAGTCCCGACCCACCGCCCTGCTTTGATCCTCTCTGCGGGTTCCACTTATCTCTCAGAGGGCTGAAGATGTGAGTCACAGCGAGAGGCCGGTCAGGGAGCCAAACAAAGCCACCTCACTGTCTGGGAAGTTCTTCTCTCACCTGGCTGTTGTCTCAGACAAGTATCATCACCTATGATAAAGAAAACCAAATATAAGAGCACAATCTTAGTGGCATATTCACCAATTCACAAAACCCAACTCCTACTCACCGTCTCTTAGGAACTCCCAGGTCCTCGGGCCGCACGCTTCGGCCACGCCCCGAGGCGGACGCCGTCGTTGCAGGGTTCGCCTAGGATAAACGGACAGGAGGCGATGTAGCGTCGCTAAAAGTTGAGAGCGCCCTCCCCGCTCCTTCCGACGCCCCCGACTTGCCGTGACTCCTCGGCCGCGCCTAAAGGGTACCCGAACCGCACAGACACGTGGACGAGGTCGAGGCTTCGTCACAGACTCCGGTAATATTTCCTGGGGCTCACCAGAGAAGCAAACCGGGTCTCTTGGCAGGTCAGTGAGGGGGCCTCAGCACAGCATCAGGAGGCAGCCTAAAACACACAAACAAGCAGGGATGCTTGGAGTTGCACCAGAAACTGAGACCCCAGCAAGAACAACGGCTTCTCTCCACCAGCCAAGGCTGACCTTCCACCTGCTTCGCCTTACCCGCTGCTTTCCAGCTTTACTTCCTAGAAATAAAGACAAAGAGCACAGCTGTTACACAGTGACCGGTTCCAGCCCCGCTGCAAAGTAAAACCGTGACCGACCTCCTCAGGGGGACCCCCTCATCTGGGACAGGTGCTCTGCCACGAGGTCAACCCATCTGCATCTGAAAGAAAGTTAGGAAAAAAGTCAAAGTGCTGCAGGGTAACTTCACAGCTCCAGACACCTGCTGCCAACATAAGAATACCACCTAGACTCCAACTACAGCCCATATTACAAATCTCCAATTACAAGTGCCCGGGACTTGTCCTTAAACACCTACAACCGGGCTGGGCGGCAGGGCAGAGCAGCTCCGGACCAAATACCCCCAGACACCCGTGACACGAGGGGACATGACAGGGAGAGAAAACTCTGAGACAAGAAAGTCCTCACGAGGACCGAGAGAATGCTGAACGAGATGACCGAGGAGGGACCCAAGGCGAGCCTGCCGGGCTCGGATGACCCCGGAGGAAAAAGATGCTAACGGAACAACTTTTTCCAAGAACCGCAGAGATGGATGCCTGAGAATCCTGTGGCTGGGAGCCTCTGCCTGCCTTTGAATCGGCACAAGTCCTTATCCACTGTAAAAAAAACACTGCTGCATATAGCTGTCGACACAGCGGAGAATGAGACCAAAAAAGACATCCGATCACATGCTTCTGAAGACAGATGCGATTCTGACGTGTGTCAGAGCTCCCGAATTGAAGTTTCGCCGGCGTCGGGCCGAGGAACGCAAAGATGGGAGATGAACGTAAGGACCTGGTGTTTCTCATAAGCTCCTGGGAGGGCTAAGGCAAGAGACATTACACGAGATGCACAGAAGACACAGAAGGCACGAGAGACAAGTGACAACCCACCCTGGGAGTGCTCTGCCTTGCCTGCCTCAGCATTGCGAGCCAAAGTGAGGCTTTCCTTCACAGAGGCCTGTGGGGTCATTTCCAGAACCTCCCCATCCCCAAAGCTCACTCAAAAACCCAAACCGATCTCAGTCCCGACCCGCCGCCCTGCTTTGATCCCCTCTGTGGGCTCCACTTATCTCTCAGAGGGCTGAAGATGTGAGTCACAGCGAGAGGCCGGTCAGGGACCGAACAAAGCCACCTCTCTGTCTGGGAAGTTCTTCTCTCACCTGGCTGTTGTCTCAGACAAGTATCATCACCTATGATAAAGAAAACCAAATATAAGAGCACAATCTTAGTGGCATATTCACCAAAACCCAACTCCTACTCACTGTCTCTTAGGAACTCCCAGGTCCTCGGGCCGCACGCTTCGGCCACGCCCCGAGGCGGACGCCGTCGTCGCAGGGTTCGCCTAGGATAAACGGACAGGAGGCGATGCGGCATCTCTAAAAGTTGAGCGCGCCCTCCCCGCTCCTTCTGACTCGCCGCGACTCCTCGGCCGCGCCTAAAGGGTACCCGGACCGCACCGACACGTGGACGAGGTCGAGGCTTCGTCACAGACTCCGGTAATATTTCCTGGGGCTCACCAGAGAAGCAAACCGGGTCTCTTGGCAGGTCAGTGAGGGGGCCTCAGCACAGCATCAGGAGGCAGCCTAAAACACACAAACAAGCAGGGATGCTTGGAGTTGCACCAGAAACTGAGACCCCAGCAAGAACAACTGCTTCTCTCCACCAACCGAGGCTCACCTTCCACCTGCTTCGCCTTCCCTGCTGCTATCCGGCTTTACTTCCTAGAAATAAAGACAAAGAGCAGAGCTGTTACACAGTGACCGGTTCCAGCCCCGCTGCAAAGTAAAACCGTGACCGACCTTCTCAAGGGGAACCCCATCATCTGGGACAGGTGCTCTGCCACGAGGTCAATCTGTCTGCATCTGAAAGAAAGTTAGGAAAAGAGTCAAAGTGCTGCAGGGTAACTTCACAGCTCCAGACACCTGCTGCCAACAGAAGAATACCACCTAGACTCCCAACCACAGCCCGTACTACAAGTCTCCGATTACAAGTGCCCGGGACTTATCCTTAAACACCTACAACCGGGCTGGGCGGCAGGGCAGAGCAGCTCCGGACCAAATACCCCCAGACACCCGTGACACGTGAGACGAGGGGACGTGACAGGGAGAGAAAACTCTCTGAGACAAGAAAGTCCTCACGAGGACCGAGAGAATGCTGAACGTGATGATCGATGAGGGACCCAAGGCGAGCCTGCCGGGCTCGGACGACCCCGGAGGAAAAAGATGCTAACGGAACAACTTTTTCCAAGAACAGCAGAGACAGATGCCTGAGAATCCTGTGGCTGGAAGCCTCTGCCTGCCTTTGAATCGGCACAAGTCCTTATCCACTGTAAAGAAACATTGCTGCACATAGCTGTCGACACAGCGGAGAACGAGACCTAAAAAGACATACGATCACATGCTTCTAAAGACAGATGCGCTTCTGACGTGTGTCTGAGCTCCCGAATGGAAGTTTCTCCGGTGTCGGGCCGAGGAACGCAAAGATGGGAGATGAACGTAAGGACCTGGTGTTTCTCATAAGCTCCTGGGAGGGCTAAGGCAAGAGACACTTTACATGAGATGCACAGAAGATACCAAAGCACGAGAGACAAGTGACAACCCACCCTGGGACTGCTCTGCCCTGCCCGCCTCAGCATTGTTAGCTAAAGTGAGCCTTTCCCTCACTGTGGCCCTGGAGGCCATTTCTCAAACCTTCCCCTCCTCATGACTCAAAACCCCTAACCGGTGTGAATCCTTCCCCACCGCCCTGTTTTGATCCCCTCTGTGACCACAGCCCTCGACTTATCTCTCCGAAGCGAATATGTGCGAGAGGCCGATCCGCTGCTAAGGAAAGCTGCTGCGGGGGCGGTTCCCTTTGTGTTACGATGAATCTGCTGAGAGAATCTGAAATATTGCACTTGACGTGATCTAGAACTTCTGGAAATTGCAATCCTCCTAAAAAAAAAGCCATGAAGAAGAGTCATGATAAAAGCATCTCATTGCCCCTGAACCCCCAGCCCAGAATCATAAACTTAAATACTCCCTGTATTCAATATTGTTTTCTTCAAGGTGTTTTCAAAACTTCTGCTGCTTCGAATGCCCAAAAGATGCCTGCTTTTAGCAGGCTGAAGTAAGTTGAAAGAGCTTCTTCACTGAAATGAGAGAGGAGCTCTTTGCCCCTGCTGATTCCCCTGGAAGGAATAATGCCCCTTAGCACAGCCTGGGGTTAATATACCCCTAATTGGGCCCGCCTCTTTTTCCCACGATGCCTGGGAAAGGGGAGGCGGCAAATCCCACCGGGTATAAAAGCCCTCAGAGGGACTGTAGCCGTTTGGCTTCTATGAGTTAAATTTGAGGTACGAAGCTCTGCATAGAAGAAAACTCTTTGGGAAAAAACAGTGTTTTCTTTTTTGCTGGAATTACTCAGAACAATGGAGCAAAGGAAAAAAAAAAAAGGTAAGAAGAAAAACTTCGTGTTTCAGCAGTGTTGCCAGCTAAGTTGGATAATTTATGGACTTGCATAATTATTTTTTAGTGATTACTAAGTAGCACTCCACCTGTGATTAATTACATGGAGAAGAATAGTATTGATATGAATGGTGTCTCATAGGGACCTTTAATCAGGGCTCTCTACATTATAAATGAAAATAAGAAAAAGAACGGACTCCCAGGTGGCATTACCGTTACATACCCGCTGGGCTTGCTCCCGTTGGAAATATTTGGTGCCGGGGTGTGGGTAGAAGTGCCCTGAAATGCAGCTTTAAACCCTTGAAATGCTGGAAAAGGTAACACTTAAAATGAGCAAATGGGACAGCTAACTCCATTTAAATAGATGCAGTGGTAAATAATTGGATTTTTTGTTGTCTGTGTTAGATAAGAGTTGAGAGAGAATTTGGGTGAGGCTGTATTGTATTGTATATAGATTTTATGTTCGAAGGTTTTGTTTTTTTAATTTTGAAGTTAGAGAATTTATGTTTGGGCATAAAGCAAACGTAGGGGATATTCTTATATAATGTAATTTCAGGACATTTTATTTTTTGTTGTTTATATTTGGCTTAATGCTCCAAGTAATGTATTTTAATTGTAGATATACTTTTATGTAGATACAGTTAAATATAGTGGTTGTAATATTTAGTAAGTAGAGGTGGTTTTTACTCAATATTTATTGCATTATTTATTTGCTTTATTCAATATTAGATTTTTTGGTGGTACATGGTGTGCTTTTTTATTGTGTTGTATAGTGTGTGAAATTTGGTTTTTGAGTAAAGATAATTTGATGAATGGGTTTGTATTTTAGGTAGAATCAATTAAAATAGATTTTGATCTGTATTATTGGGATTTTAGTTTTGTTTTTAGTATGTAGGGGTTCAAATTGGGTATTGTTTGTTTGGTTAGCCGAGTTTTGGGTATTAATTAGGTGGTTTTTGTTAGATGCAGCGGTTAATGATCTGAAGTTTCTTATCTAGTGGTTTTAAGGTGATTTTTAGTAATTGATTTATTTTGTTTGTAGTGGCATATATTACCGGATCTCTTTTACTTATTTCATGTTGTGTTTTTCAGTTTGGGTGTTGATGATACGTTTGGATTTCTTTACGTTGTGGTGTTTATTATTAGTTTTATTTTTGGGGACATGGGCATTCATACGGTGGATTTCTATAGGTATTTTTGGGGGGATGGTGATATTTTTCAATTTCTTAGTAATTTAGATGGGTATTTTTTGTTTTTAATTAGCTTTAATTTTTTTTTTTTTTTATCGAGTATCAGTAACTAGTCAATAGTCCAGCCCTACAGTCATTTCAGCTCCAGCCCTAGAATGCCTTTCCCTGCCCCAGTGATTTCAGCTCTTGGCCCACAAGCTTTATTTCACTGCAAGCTCTCTTCTTCCAGTTCCAGATGCACGTGTCTCCAGCTCTCCTGGCTGCAACCCCTGCAGGTTCAAAAGGCAGAATCTTGGTGTTAGCTTCAGCTCTGCAACGATTCATCTCCTGCCCTAGAGTGTCTAAGCCCACCTCACTGTCAAGATTTCAACCCCACAGTGCTTTCAGCTCCAGGCCTCTGATGCCTTTGCCAGCCCAATAGACACTATGCTTGCCCCACCCATCATTTCCTCAATCCCCCTGACTCTTTCTCAGCTCTAGTTTCTTTTCCATTTTCACTGAAAATCCCAGTGCCATAGAAAATTTCCTAGACCTACAGTGGCTATCCCCGATCCAGACAATACCTCAGCATCACCAGCATTTCAGGCGATATTTTACTGGCCCCTTTTCAACTCTTCACATTCTGTTCCATTTTCAGTCACAATACCCAGCCCTAACATCTGTATCATAGGACTACAGTGATTCCAGCACATGGATTCTACAGTCTCTGTGTCAGCCCTACAGTTTCAATCCCATTTTCAGGCTCTATTCCAGCCGCACAGTGATTTCAGCTCCAGCCCTGGAACTCCCAAGATGCCTCCATTGGCCCCTCTCAACCAGCAGCTCCCTGTGCACTTCTGCCCAGGTAACCCTCTGAAAGAAGCCTCTGGTGGGAGCCACCCCCTTCTCATCCTCACTGGTCACACCTGGGGCTGCTGCACCTCGGAGTGAAAGATTTTAGCCAGGTTTCTAGCATGCTCACTGCAGGACTTGGTAACTCATGGTCAAAAGAATTTTCTCCTAGCTGTGAAATAATAATAATAATAAGAAGAATAATAATAAGTCAATTTTGTCCTTAAACCAATTTGTCATCTAGAAGTTTGCATGGACTACCTGTCAGCTCTCAGAATATGCTAGCTAGTGTTTACATCCTTCAAGATTGTTGAAAGAGAAGTTGAACACCCCGCTGTCTTTTCTTAGGTAGTGAAGTAATCTAATATTTTACAATCAAATTTACTGACTTCTGGTCTATGATCTATAAATGGTGTTTGTTATGATTTTATGATGTTATTTACAGGTCAGTGTCCTGAGGGTATTTCCATGCTCCCTTGGCCCGCTGCCCTGTGCAACCAGGCCCCCATGCCCTTTGGCTGCGCAAGGCACCCGATGCATCTGTTTTGAAGGAAAAGAGCAACAACTGTGTGTTTAAACTTCGTACCGGTTCCCTTTGCTGTTCAGTATTTTACACTGTTTATTTTGACCAACAGCGTTCTGATTGTTTCTAGATCAAAGGATATGTATTTTGGGCTTTAATTATTTTTTAATGATGCCTTATCTCAGGGGAGCTGTGCAGGACTGGGTAGGTCTGATGACTAGAGAGTGTGAATAATATTTGCACAGCCTCTGTGTTTTCAGTGCTCAGTCAGTGACAACTAAGGTGAAAAACAAAAGCTGAGGAAATGCAAAAATATTTCTGTCATTGTGCACTTTTTAGTTTAGGTACCAAATTGAAATGTGCAGTGATTTGAAGAAAGCTTAGCCCAACCAGAGTAAAACATCCTTTCCTTAACACTTGCAGGATGGAGGTATTCTGAAAGGGAGCCTCTTAGAAATTATTCAAGAAGGTCTTGAAGCACGGCACCCAGAAATGCCTGATGGCTTCACAGAAACTGTAAGCACCTGTTAAAGGGACAAGTATATGAATCTTTTTGTTTTAGAATAGAAATGGCTGGTTAACAAACATCCTGAAGAGTCAGCCACACATTCTTCCTCCGAAGAATCACAGATTCCTAACTCCCAGGCTCTGAGATGTAATTGCAGTATGAGGAAGTTTGGGAGAGCTGAAAAGTCACCATAGCAACCTCCTAGCAAAAATCTTCACTTATCCAATGTAAAGCAAAATTAATTTTTATCTGAATGGCCTTCGTGAGCCTGAACGTGTTTCATGTCGGCTCTCTGCTTCTCTTTATTTCATTGTACTCCTCAGTCACTGCTCGAAGTCCTAAAGGTCACCTTCTAAATCTTCTCATGAAAGTTTTGACTAGAAATGGGTGCGGGATGCCAGTTATCTGATCCGGGTCTGCCTCTGAGTTAAGAAGAGATGCCCTCTCGTAGCACTCCAGACCCTTTGCAATCATCTTCAGGGATGCTGACAAACAACTTGTGCTGAATAATTAATTGCAAGCATCGAAATAAACTGAAAAACATTGAAACAGGTAAAAGAAGATGGAGGAAATGTAAATCATTAGGAAAAGTCCTGTGCAGTCCCTGTTCAGAAGAAAGGCTCTCCGTGAGAGAGTTTATGCAAATGATAGAAGGTATGAGAAGCTATGCAGCGTGGATTTGGTGAGATACAGCGTGCGCCAAGAAATTTCCATGGATGTGATCTGCCCATAATAGAGGGAGACCGCGACCTGCTGGTTGAGGCCAGTGGGTGGCAGGAGGGTGCTTGGCTGTGGCTACTTGTCTGTGAGAGGGTCTGTGCAGGTGCGTAGGGGGAAGGCAAGGCAAGAGAGGCACTCCTGGGACCTAAACCAGTTTGCTTGGGGGTGCTCTCATTTTTTTGAGAAAAAAATTGAAGTCTGGAGTGTTTAAACGGGGGTAACCAAGAGGAGGAAGACAGATTCGTGAGCAATAAGGTGACAATGGATGAATAGGTTATGTAGGAATGCTGAAGGGAGGGATGCTTCTATTCTGTCTGGAACCTAGAGTGCCTGGAGGAGCAGGGTGCAGTGTTCAGCAGTCTGGGGAGGTTCAGGCTTTCTCTGCTTCCTCTTACATCCCTTTCAGATCCAGTAAGAGAAGTGAACTACTGGGAGCTGCTGTCAAAACATTTGAGATCACAGTCCTGCAGGAGATGGCCACCTGGCCTTCAGGGACCATTTTGTCCCTCTGGAGCTAATTCGCAAAATTCAGTAGTTGACTTCCGGCTGTCCAAAGTGACAGACACACAGGAGTGTCCTTCTTGGGGACCACTCTGTCTGAGACCTCACTCATGAAGTCTTTCTCAGCAGCAAGCAATAATTAACATTTTGTGAACTTGGCAATGACTAATTAATATCTTGCAGGAGAGGAGAAAGATACTGGTGTTGATCTTTACATTATAGTGTTACATACTACAAATAGATGCTAGACAGCTATTGTGGGGAATTTTCAACTAGTGTGCTTTAATGCAGTCACTTTTGAAACAGAAATGAGAGTATCTCTTCGGTTGTTTCTAATTTGTGTTTTACAGTGCTCCATATTCTGGACTTTGCTCTGGACAAAACCCATATGACCCTGTGACGTACCAGAGACTGGGAGTGTAATGATTTGTTTCTTAAATGTTATTGCAAAAGTCAACAAATCATTTCTGGAGTAAAGAAAGAGAAGTTTGGAAGCAGAGATTTGTTATCGCAGCAGATTTTCCAGGACCTAAGAAATGTAGCTTCAGAACAGAAATGACTTGCTCTTCATTTCCTGACCTGCTGTGAAAACATCGCATCTGACTTTCTCTTCATATCTCCTTCTCGGGTCTTTTGGCATCTGACAGAAGAAACAGCGTGGAGCAAAAATCTACCTGAATTTCTGTGCTACACATGGAGGTCAGTTTTTGAGCAGAGCCTTTAAAAAACTATGGTGTTTTCAGAAGAAAATATGTAAATATGTGTGAAGTCCTATTTAGGTGCCACAGGCTGGGAGCGTAATGTTTTATTCCTTAAATGTTACTGTAAAAGTCAGCATAATATTGCTGGAGTAAGAGTGTAGAAAGCTGGGAGAAGAGATTTGTTGTCACAGCAGTAAATGGAAAACTGGATGACATTTCCTAACACTGTAAGTTAAATTGTAAAGTGCAATTTTAAAGGAAATTGAGAGAGTTGTTATTAGCTCAGAGGTTTTTCTCGTTTTCTAGTGTTCATTTTACATGTCTGAACACAAAGGAACAGCTTCCATTTTGCCAGTGGGCAGGGTGCTGTAACCCTTTGTGGGGAGCCCCAGGCAAGGGCTGTGTCTGATGTGAAGCCAGGCGACTCCACTGAACGGAGCTTGGCTGCCTTAGACCATTTGAGGATCTAGTTCATCCCTCACAAGAATTTTTTGTAACTCATTAATAGGTGGAGATTTCATCCAGTGTGGTCCTAAACCAAGATTAAGTCCTTTCTTTGGTGCCTGGTGAAGTGAGTAGAGAGGGAGCAGAGCAGCACAGGAGAGCTGCAGGGCATGGGGAGGGAGTCTGGGCCTCTCGGACATCAATGCTGCCTGTCTACTTACTCTGTTGCTCTGATTTAACTATAGTCATTTTGGAAGAAACTTTAGTCAAACTGAAGCACAAAACAGAATAAAGTCCTTCCAGCTTAGACTGGCATATTTGCATTTTAAGTGTTTGGTGTAAGCTTATACTTTGCCCTTTCTCAATTATAAGCATGATCCCATGGCTTACATATACGATGAAAATTTGCTTGTAGACAGAGCCCAGGGGTGAGAACAAATACTTTGACTGGCTGTGCTGTCCATGAGCAGCTTTGTGTCCTGTTTTTCCCTGTGTCCTTTGGCCTGTCTGATGCTGTGTGGGTTACCATCCCACCAGAGTCTGTAGGACATAACTGCCGGTCAGCACATCCATCTTAGCAGCTCTGGCAGGGCTTTCTCTTCTTGTTTTCCCTACATTTTAAAGAACTTCACCCCTTTGTCAAAGCAGACTGGAAGTTGCTAACAGGTTTAGGGTTGTGACAGATAAACGGAACACGTTCAGTGTCATCGTGTAAACTTCATCTCTTTTAGAAACCGGCAGAATCCAGAGTGTTTGTGTAGCTGTGACCTTTAGATCAGAGATGACTGATCTAGTGACTCAGCCTGGTCACAGGGAGCGAGGACTTCTGGGCTCCTGTGCTGTCAATGCCATTCCAGCACATTGCAGGAGCAGTTTGAATTTCTCAGCCAAGTGAGTAGGAAGGGGATGCTCACCAACCTCTCTTTTTCAGAAAATGCCTAGAAAATGAAGAGGTTCCTGTGTCGACCTGAACAGTACTCTGCTAAAAAGGTTTTTTGCATCTTGATGGCTGCTGCTCGTCTCTTTCTCCTGACAGGTACAGTAATCCCGCTCAAGATGAATCGCATGGATGGCATCCCCCAGCCCAGAGAGTGTCTGATGGTGTCCTGGTTTGTGCGCACACAGTTTATCCCTACAGGAGCCCACTTTCCTTGTGTTCTGCTCTAGAGCAGCAGTTCTTATTCTGGCCTTTTTCCTTCAGCCATTACCGGGGTTCCTGAAGCATGCTGGCCAGAGACCTACAAGTCTGGACACGATGCATGCCATCTCCTGGGATGCTGGTTCAGTCTGGGCTGCAGATGAGCCAGTACAAATAAGAAAATGCATCAATGAGTGAAATGTCAGGTTTTGATTGCGTTACAACCGTCATCCACGTTTGGAGGTGAAAAGGCTCGTGGTTTTGTCATTATTCACTTCTTTCCCTCCTGGGCGTCTTCCACATTTCTCCATGTTATTTTTCTAGTTTTACTTTGGTCACGGTAAAATAGGAGCTGTGTGCAGTTGCTACTCAGTGTCTTGGGAAAAGCACAAAGCTACTGACAGAACCAAGTTCTGCAGTAATAATTCAGGCCCTGAGTTCAACACAGTAAGCTCTGCGTCACGAACACGCTCAGCATCCTTTCAGTCCACCATAAATCCCAGAAAAACAATAACGAGTTCTATGCTGGTTTTTGTATTTATTTCTTTCATGTCTCTTTAAGAATAGTGCAGGGCACAGAGATAATTCATGCCTCTAAAATGCACCCTGTAGGACTGGGGTCACTTCCGGCACACAGGGCTGTTAAGGAAAACTCAAACTCTTTCCAAAGAAAACCTTCATAATAAAAAGGCTGAATTAACATCTAGCTCCTGCCAAATTGATCAACTTTTTCTCAGCTTTGGATGAGAAAATTGGACATCCAAACTGATACTGGACCATGTGGACCCTAGAGCTGAACTATGTATTGATTCCTATGTGACATGTCTCGAGGGCTTCCTTTTCTTTTGCGGAGTTAGACTTGTCTTTTTATTGGTAGTGTGGGTGGTCTCAATTAAATTTCAAAGGTAGCAGAAACAAGAAATAGAATAAACTTTTAAGTATTTTAATCAACACAGGGATTATGAGGACATAGGGCAGTTTTTTCTTTGGAAGTGACACTTTATTTCCCTTTTTAACTCTCCCAATGCTGTTTGTTTACAGAAGCACACTATCTGCATGGATTTACTGGGAAGGAATGATAAATGTGTCCAAGTGTGTGTTCTCATCCTCTCACTGACTCAGTCTGCATCTCTTCCTCCCCCTACCTCACCCACACACTGCTTCCTGGTTTTCTTATCAACTTTAAATAATCTGAGGGAGGGATGAATATTCAATATCTGAAAATGACTGCTAATAATATAGAAATATATTCATTGCAGTTCTCTTATTGGTCATTTTTGATACTTGCTGATTGGAAACTGTACATATTTACAGGATGCCAAGTAAACTATTTATTAAATTATTAAATCAAAATCCTTGAGTAGGACTTCAAAAAAAATCAGTGGTACGGTACTCTCGTGGCTTCAGACCTCACCTGCCATCATGCCTTAGTCTTCTTTTCACAAGCAGAATTACATACATGTTAATTAAAGCAAATGAGGCTACAGGATGCAGGTCACCACTCCCACACCTGCCTGCTGGTAATGTTCTTTGATGTGTGAGAATAAACAGATGATTTTTTTTTTTTTCTTCTTCTGGTGATAATAAGAGAGAAACAAATAAAGTGCTATCTATGAAGCTGTGATCATACTTTCGTTTGTCAGGATATGGAAACATAATCCCAAGTGACATTCCTGTTCAGAATGGGTTTGGGCTTTGTTTGGCAATTTCTCTGTTGGTTTTTTTTTTCACTAGAAAATTCTTTTGATCCGTCCTGCCTGACACCGAGTGATATGATACATCGTCTCTGAGGCAATGGTTTTCTAAATATTACACTGATAACAACATGAACAGAGTGGGGCCTGTGGTTTCCCTCTGCAGATTCAATCCTATCTGGAGACAATCTGCAGCACTGGAACATGCTGGGAGCTAAGTTAAACCCCAGGTGTTCTAATAGTCTGGAATGGGGCTCAATAGATCATATCCTAATATTATGTCTATATTTCTGTAGGAAAGAAAAAAAGTATTTTTTCCAGTGATAGGGCATGCCTGGCCTTTCTGCATTCTCGTCTCACTCCCTCTATGGCAGCAGTTCTTAAAAAGGCTCATAATGAGACTCCTGTTTTCTGTGAGTTTGAAACCAGGGACTCATTATTTGCAGCATCACGCTGGGGATCAGAGAGCCGTCTCTGCAGCTTCCCTCCGTGGGAAGATTTACAGGTTTTCACTGCAAATTTAAGCTGTGGGATTGAAGTCCCTGGAGATGCTGGAATATCTGCCTTTCTGCAGAGGTGGGAGGTAACAGACTATACCTGAGATTCAAAACCACATTTTATAGCAACAATTTACAAAATATCAGTTGCAGATGATAAATCAACAAGCCTGGAGGAATGAGGGGCAATGTGAAGCTCTTTCTGATCGATTAGAGAAGCCTGAAGGGCATGCTGTCACTGAATATGGTTTGTGATGCTGGAAACTCTCTACCTGAGAACTGACCTTGTCAGACGAAAGAGAAAAAATTGCAGAAGAGATTAAATATTTAAACAACATGTTTTCTTACAGACTGTAAACCTGTAGAATGCTGATGTCCAGTCTGTAAATCAGAACTCATTCCCATCATGAAACCAGGTCCACAGGATAGCTGGGTCCCTGGGTGTCTGAAGGTGGGGGAGGGTGGGATGGTGTCTTCTTTTTGACTATTGAGTCTTTGTAAAGAGCTATTATTTATTTCCTGCTTAGCACTAGTGGGTTGTTCAGAAAGATCTTTGTTCACGAGGTACAAGGGGAATTATTCCTGGCCTGTAACAAGTCCAGCCTCTAAGAAAGAAGTCAGCTGCAGGAAAAACCCTCTGCAGTCTGCTCAGAGGAGCTGGTAAGTGACAAGACATCTTGTATTGGTTCTTCCGTGGAAAACAGGGGAGAGCAGCAGGTTTTGTAATGGAAAATCAGATGGCAGTCTGCCACAGCACACAGCAGTGCTGCGCCAAGGAAGATGCAAAGAAATCCAGGTCTGGTCCAGCACAGACTGCAGGAAAAGGGTGTGGCATCATTCCCATCACCTGCAGGGAAAACCTGCTGGCACCACAGGGACTTGACTTTCTGCTTGGGCAGGAAGGGGAAACCTTGCCCCATAGCATTTTGTGCCTTCTCTTAATGGCTCCTGCCCTCCAGTACTTCAAGGTGTGTTTCACATGGCTCTGGCATTTGAGCTCTGCCCCCACTCTGCTGGGTGAGTGCTAAGTCAGATCTGACTTAAAAGTCCATTTAAAGTTGGGTTAATGAATTGCATTCTTAGCTACCTGAGCGGGAAATATGAGGAATATCATGGTTATCTATGTTTTCTTGTAACAATGTGCATTGTTTTCATTTTTCAGTGAAATTAGTATTGAACTTGAGCAAGCTTTTTGGAAGAAACCAAACATGACTAAATGCAAGTTACTGGAAAAACTTCCAAATAGTATTCTAGACCTCCAAGATATCAAGCTAACAGAAGGTATGGCACCAGATACTGCAGTGACACAGTGAATCACAACAAAAATAGTTGTACTGGGATAATGCTCAGCTTGCACATTGGAAGCAGCAATAAGATTGTTTTCGTGCATCCTGCACATCTAGTGATCTTAGAGCTTTTATTGTTGATGAATTATGCAAGTGCTTCCAAATTTTCTATCAAATCCCCTATTCTCAAAGCCTACACTTAGATGTATAGCTAAGTGAGTAACTAGTGAATAATGTGGCAAGTTTTGCCTGCTTATACGCTCTGTTATCACATCAAAACAGCTCACAGTATCTCATGGAAAGAAGCACAAATCAGTGCCTGGAGTTGAAAAGCTGGTGCTGTAATTCATGTAAGCTATGAGATTACCTCTACCACCTGTTTATACTTTTTTTTAAACTATGCCAAACAGTGCGAGTAGTTTGAATGGTGAACAAACCCAATACCAGAGCTTATCCTAATCCTCAGAAGTGCATCAAAGAATAGGTCATGGATAGATATCTGGAGTTGCACACAGTCTGTCTGATTCCCAGGGTGTAAAATCTGCTTCTATACAAAAATTATAGAAGGATGATGAGATGATGAATGGCAAATACAAATACAGAATTTGCTTTTGCTGCTGTACCAGGTAAGCAGCATTAGGGACAGAGGCAGATCATGTAATCGTTATTTGGAACTCACAAATTCTTGTAAACAACCAAGTTAGAACTAAATATTATTTGCAGATAGTATTTATAAATCCAAAAGCAGGTGACAGTATTCTTTTGAAAAGTACATTATTTTCTTTAAAATACGATCTGAGATATGCAGATTTTACTTAGAAGTTTTTACTCGTTTCATTGACATGTTGAAGGTTTATTGACTAATTCTTAGGACATAAGTTCGTAATAGATCAGGAGCATTAGAGAGACACATGTAGCTGCATGGTGAGACAGAGAGCTATGCCACATAAGTCATCTGCACTTCCTTTTTTTTCAGAGAATGCACAAGATGTTGTACAGCATATTTTATACCTCTTGCCTGATGCAACACTGGATGCAGAAGAACTAGAAATCATTGCAAGGAAAATTTCTGATATCGTAGAGCTTGCAGATATGAGTGTGACACTTGCAGAGACTGTGTTGTCTATACTAGACTATATTCTGCTGCAAGAAATAGAAGATGAGAACTTTAGAAAAATAACCGATTGGTAAGTAAGCCAACTTGTTCAGAAGAGGCTTCCTAAGCTGAAATGGCACCATGGTGTAATTTATTCAGTCTATTAAAATATCATCACTGCAGCTAGCAACTTCTGTACTTTGATCTTAAACATATTTGAGGTTTTACCAGCAGAAATTGGTTATTGTGTGGTCAAAGGTGCTTTTAGCAGAACCTATTCTGCAGAAATCCCCATTCCAGTGTTGATCCCTGTGGGCATCCCAGCCTGGAGGCAGCCCAGGGATTGCCCAGCTGCCACCTCCTCTAGCAAGGACCTTTGTGGCTCGGCAGGGAGGGCTGTGGGCAGTTCAGCATGGAGACACAACTCTCTTCCACCCTCTACCCTTGCTGATAAAGACTTTTTAAACACAGCCATTCAATGTTAGTCTTCAAAATATATACTTAGGATCCTGCATCCATGATGTGATTCTCAGACGTGCTAAAATCAAGGTTCTTTAAAAACTTTAAAAACACCTCTCCTCTTTGAGGTCTTAAAGGGAACTCAGCTGCCTGGTTTCGAATGCCTGAGCAGAGCACTGTCCAGAGCAGTGCAGCCGACCTTGACAAGGGCAAATGCAAGGACACAGAGTTTACCCATTCGGAGTTTTGCTGGACAAGCCCCTGAGCAGCAGCTCTGCCTTCAGAGCATATCCTGCCTGAGGTGGTGAGGAGTTGGAGTATGGACTTCTAGAGGTTCCTACCAGAACTAAACTGGCTCTAATATTTCATTTCCTGGTACAATGAGGTGATTGAAAATAATCAAATTAGCAGATTTTACAAGTTACTGCCTTGAAAATGAAGTGCAGTTTTTGACTGGATGTGGATTTTGACTCGAGTCTTCTCAGAACCTCTTTCTATTGCCCCCGCAGGAGGGTATCTCCCACCTGCCGGAGGCCACTAAATCGTGCCAACTCAACTGCTTGCCACCATCTCCGCCTGTGCAGACAAAGTTGCATCTACCCCCAAATGAACCCATTCTGCTCTAGTGCTTGCTTCTTGTTATCATAAATCAGAGCAAAGACTTTTAGTCTCTTGGGTGTGAATTATGAAACCAGCAGAACATTTCAAGAGTTGTGTTTTTGTTTTCTTTCTGTTGCTCTTGTTGAAGTATCCTGAGGATGACTGAGGAGATGGGCTATAAGGTTCTCTACACAGAGAGAAATATATCAGTCATAACTACGTCCTTGGCCCTCTTAGTGCTTCGTCCAGATCCCAGACTGTTTGGAGGACTGGCCTTTGGCATTACCTCCTACAACAGAGGCATGGATCTCAAGGTGAGAGCCAAGTATCACCTCAGAGACCACTGACTAAACCAGACAATCCTCCTGCTCTTTTGTCTCATTTTGAATTTGACCTGAGGATGGCACGTCTGAGCATGTCATCTCTCTCCTGCAGATCAGTGTACAAGAAAACCTTTTCAGAAAGGCTTTGGCCTCGGTGTTTCTGCCAAAATCCCTGAAGAACTTCCTAGGGATCGAGTACTCTGACCCAGACAGGCGTTCAAAGATCCAGTTCAAGTTTTTTGGCACTACTTCACTTTTTCTGGTAACTACGACTCCCAGCAAACCCTAACACAGCAGGAATGGGCTCAGCTGTTCTCCGTGCCTACAAAAGAAATTCCAACAGCATCGTCTCTTCGGGGCACATTAGCATCAGACTGATGAAGGGATGTGCAGGCAAAATGTACTCAAAATGAGAGCAAGAAAGAGCTTGGATTCATTCTGCGTGTGTGTTTTTTTTCCCCTGCAGGATGACAGTTTAACGATGGAGAGGTTAAAAACTTACGTTGTGAGTGCCAGCATTGAAAACGCATCAGTTCAGAACCTTAACGAGCCTGTGACTGTTACTCTCCACCATATAGACCAGAACAGGGTAGGTTTTGTTCATTTCATCAGGGACAAAGTGAGACAAAGCTGACTTCACTCACCCTTTCAATAAATTGGGAACAGGACAAATAAAACACTTTGCTGCCTGACCTCTCCACGATACGTGGACCCAAACTTTGACTGACCACACAGATCTCAGTGTTTAATAAATCTTGCAGGTCGCTAAAGCTTTTGTCTCCACTCTAAATCCATGCTTAGCAACAAGGAGCATTTTTATTGTTTCCTTGTTCTGATTTAGACAAATTTTTTTCAAGGAATAGTTTATTTGCCAGAAAATAGTAGATTTTGGATTGGACTGAAATGATTTATCCATGATCTGCATTTGGAAAATAGTTTAAGTCATCAAAGGAGAGGAGCTTAAAAAACCCCAAAACCTTGCAAAGATGTTTTCAAAATCAAAGTGTTCTGTTTTGTTTCAGAAACTTGAAGTCTATTTTATTTTTAAATGGGCATGGGTAAAATTTATTGATTGAGTTCCTCCTTAGCATATTTGTGCTGCCAATGTTTAAGGCTCAGTGTCCACATATTACAAACCCGAGGCAGAAGAAAATTTTTCGATAAGCTGAACTTGCTTAAAGTTTGAGTTAATGAGGACTTGTAGTTGCTGCTTTCATGGCAAAATGCTCTTTCTATTCAGCAAATATATACCCAGAAATTTCACCTAGATATCCCCTCTCTTCTGTCATTTTTACTCCACTAGGCCATCTGGCACCTTTCAGATTTTTTCCTTGACCTTTTAAAATTATCTTAATTAAATATTGAATGAGTTATCATCCAAACCTACATCTTTGGCTGTGTGCCTAATTATATATGACAGCCTACAAATCACACAACAGCTTATTTGCTAGACTGGCTTCCTGTAAACTCTGTGCATTATTAAACTATATTAATGATGTAATAATAATAAAAGTAAATGAATCTGTGCCTTGGAAAAGTTTGCTGCAGCATGATGAGTAATAAACTAGAATGTCCCCAAGAGAAATCTTTGCACTGAATATCCATTTACACCTGTTCAGCTCTCACTTGTCTTCCCTGCCTGGTTTCAGAGAGGGGAATTACTGAAAGTCTAAAGTAAACATTTCTTGTAGGGTTTTTGGTTTTTTTTAATGTATCGCATCTCAGGTTGTTATTCCAGGTCTTAGTCATAGCTTCACCAGTAATTTGGTGTGACATCTCAGGCACCACATGAACCTGATGAGGTTAGACACAGAAATTGGCCTCAGGTGAATGATTTGTCAGATTTGCTGCTGTCCTTAAAAGACTACAATGTATTGAAAGATAAAACTGGGGAAAATCACTAACTCGCAGGATTTCCCTTGGTAAAGGGGAAGGCAAAAAGTGTGACTCTGCTAGTTTAGTGCCACAGGTGAGATGGCCAATATCCTGGCTGGGTCCCCAAGCCCAAGTGTCCAGCTGCCCCTGACCTCGTGGCGTCTCCACTCACGCACAGACCCCCTGCAGCACCGCACACAAATAATCGTGGACACGAGTGGGCTTTGAGGCCAAGCAGTGCAGGGGAAATCAAATCCAAATGACTTGGTCATACACCCCAATCAGAGGTGAGATACACCATCTGAAAGTGCAGATGGAGTGCAGATGTCCTAAATAAATGTCACAGCCTCCTTTCTTCTCTTTCCAGGGCAATGCAGCGGTGCACTGTGTCTTTTGGGACTTTGGGAAAAACAGTAAGTGTCACTTGCCGAGTTGGCTCTGTCCCCAGCATCGCAGAAGCTTTAGCTTTTCGACATTGCACCTTGAAACCTGAGTTTGTGCTGCTGCTTTGTGTTGATGTCAACACCTCAGTACTCAGTGTTATCACCAGGAATATGGGTATGACATTGTGCAGTGCTGCATCTACATGAATAAGAGGACTTCACCTAAGAAAAAGGCAGAAATGCAATGAAACGTCAGATGAATTCTTGCTGTGACTTCAGGGAATACAGCAGGGGCTTTGCTGGGGCCAGGTCTTTAGAATGGCTGAGACAGTCACGAGACAGAGAGAGATAATTGTAAATTGGGTTAACTCAGAGCATGCAGGAGAGGTTTCCTCTGCAATTACTAGGAGTAGAAATTATTAATTTCTTTTTAATCAGAAGCTTAGCTTCTGAATATGTGATGCAGACTACATAGATAGGGTCATAACGTTCAGTCTTACCAGCGACTACTTCAGCGCTGTGCTCTACCTAAACAAATCCTCTGCCCTGTGCATGCTTCTTTTCTTCTGTTTCCACCTCCTCGAGCACAATGTAGCCCAGCACTGGGTCTTTATCTTCTTTCTTTCTGTGTGTGCAGATATGTAAATGACTCTAAATATTTTTTTGTTCCACCAAAAGCTTTCATCCAAATTTTGAGGTTCTCAGGTGACTACAGAAGATGTGTTTTCATGTGAAATCTCACTTGTGTGCTGCTAAATGACCCTGCAATCTGGACTAACTTGAGCTCATCTTCACACACGCTGTGTGCTGCACAGCTATAAATGATGGAGGATGACTAACTCTGCTTAAAAATCCTTTTTCTCTGTTGCACAGATGGACTGGGTGGTTGGAATACATCGGGGTGTGAAATGGAATATACAGATATGAATTATACAATCTGTTTTTGTAACCACCTTACCCATTTTGGAGTCTTACTGGTGAGTACTCTGTGAGTCATCTCCCAGAAAGTCCCGTGGCACTAAACGAAGTCATCGCTAGTTTTGGAAAAGAAATGGGAGATGCATAGCTATACAAGCTCTTAGATGTCTGCAATTTTGCCAAAATGAGCAATAACAAAAAACCCAGTTATGATAATTTGACGGTGTAAAGTCCTTTAAGTGTCACTTGCTTCAAGGCAATTTTGTTTTACATATGTAGTTTGTACTTCGAAGTGTAACTTAATCAACCTTAATGTGTTATTTACTGTGTTGGAAGTACTGTGTTAAATTTACTAACTGCCAGTGACAACTAATGACATTACTTTTTGAAAGTTTTATCTATGCTCCATCAGAGAGTGAAGTTTAGTATAAATATGGGAGATCTCATTATCTATCACCTCTTATTGTGTGCTAGAAAACTGCCTCTAAAAGCAAAATGTCAAAAGCTGGGATGACTGCCTGAGAATGGACTGCAACAAAGGCAAAGAGACAGGGCAGTTCTAGGCAAACCAAGTAGATTAAATTGGCTATTCCCAGTAGGATACAGCCCCCACGATGGAGTGAGGCCCCACCTTTGCCTTTGGATACTTCCCCTAGAGGTCAGCATGACCCTGCTCCAGAGGCAAAAGCCCTCCTGGGAGTAAAACTGTGGCTTTACAGAAGGGAATTGAGATTCAGATCTCAGACACTGGTTCAAGTTCCAGACACTTTTTCAAGTTTTCATTCAAGCAAGAAGAATTCAGTCTGAGTTTCAGATCGCACCTCTTACTGTCACTTTGGTAATTAGTATAGCTACAGGTCTTCAACAGCACCATCCATGGGACATCAGAGATGTAGGTTACCAGTCTGTGGTTCAATGTTTCATGAAATAGAAGAGAAGCTGTTTCAGGGAACAACAAAATCCCCTCAATGTTCCTCCTGGTAGCAGCTGTGGAGAAGCAGGGCCAAGCCTCCTGTCTGATTTTCCAATGGTGCTTTCTGGACAGGGAGGATCTACTATGCTCCAAGATGTTTAGCAGGTTTGTGCAGGTCCCAAGCACGGCAGCTGCCACTGAAACAAAGTAGTTTCTCCTACAAAGTGAGCTCCTGGTGGAATAATTTTGGTAAGATCCCAGAATCCATGTTCAGTTTGTCCTTTCTGAAGAACATCTTTTCTAGCTTTATGCCTTATTGCTGGATACTTTAAATACTGCTGGTTAATTTACCATTTGCTAGTTTGGATAGTCTGTGGGACTATACAATAAGAAACACATAAATATATTAATGGAAAATCTCCAAAAGTAGCAGTAAGCAGTACAGTAATTTCACAATGTGAAAGTGTGGAAGGGAATTTTCTAAATCTGTCTTGGCAAACAACAGTGTTTCTTCGTCTTGTAACACAGGACTTGGCCCGGACAGAAATAGGTGTCACGCATGATCATATATTAACTCTGCTAAGCTATGCGGGATGTGGTGCTTCTTCCTTTTTTTTGGGAATAACGCTCATGACATACCTGACCCTTGAGTAAGTCTGATCCTTTTTCTTACACTGATTTTAGTATTTTGGCAAGAAGGAATTTGCAGCAATTATCAGAATGTTTGTTAATATTTGATGCTGTGATGCATAAGAGGGAAGACTGAGAGCTGACAATATAAATATTGCTTTATTTTGACGTCTGTTGTGAAATCAGAGAGATTTGAATACTCATACTTCAATACAAGCACCTGTCTGAACTGTTCAGCAATCTTTATGTTCCTAAATTTCACAAAATCATTGCATATTTTGGATTGGAAGGGATCTAAAAGGCCCTCTAATTCCAACACCCTGCCATTGGCAGGGACACTTTCCACTAGACTGCATTGCTCCAAGCCCTATCCAATCTGGCCTTGAACACTTCCAGGGGATGGGGCAGCCACAGCTTCTCTGGGCAGCCTGTGTCAGGCCCTCCCCACCCTCACAGTAAAATGTCTGTAAAGACTAAAAATTTCTGTAATTTCAAAAATTTACCCCTGGACATGGGTGAGATATTACATCACGAATCTGGAATATTCCTGGGTATAGGCTGTAAATTGGATGATAACCTTGTGGACTTGCCCTTCTTTTTAGGAAGGTGAGAAGAAACAACACCTCAAAAATCCTCCTCAACCTTTGTGCTGCACTGCTGATGCTGAACATGGTCTTCCTCACCAATTCCTGGCTGACCTCATTCAACCAGCCAGGCCTCTGCATTACTGTGGCCATGCTACTCCACTATTTTCTTCTTGCAGCATTCACGTGGATGTGCCTGGAGTCTGTCCACTTTTATTTGGCTCTCGTCAAAGTTTTCAATGCCTATGTCCCAAAGTACATCCTAAAATGCTGCATTGCTGGCTGGGATAAGTAGACTGATTCCCTCTTCACTTCTGTGCTTGTCAGCTTCTCTCAGATTGGGGCATATTTACAGAAATAAGTGAAGACACTGAACTAGCAGAAATGCAATGCACACCCTGTGCTACAAGGATGGATCTCTTCTCCCAGGCTGTTCAGCTTAAATTTCTTCTGTGCCAGGAGACATTAGCAGAGAATGTTGGTCCTTGCACAGTCATATGCAACTGAAAGTGAGTGTAAGGCACTGCTTTCCTACCCCTCTTCTCTTTACAGGATGATTTATCATGGTACCTCATGTGAGTGGGTCTGACTGTGGCAGTAATGCTACCCACAGCCTTCACCCCTGTGTGGGGATGCTCAAAGGTGATTTTACCTCTTTCTCCAGGCCTTGTGTCCATTTCTGGCATTCTCTTTCTGATTCCCATGCACAGAGTGGATTTGGCTTTCATTCATCGCTCTCCCAAGGAATTCCCTTGACAAATATCAGAGACTTGTTTGGGAGAAACATACCAAAAAGAACCCAAATTCTGGTTCACCTGTTAGAAAAGGTGTTATCAGAGGCACTGACATAGATCAGAATTTTGGCTGTATTATTTGGGTCACTAAATAGATGCTGTTTTAAGTTGGGTTTTTTTGGGTTTTTTTTTTGCTCTTGCATAGTGTGCAGCGTATTATCATGCCTATCCTCAGACCTGATGTCACACAATTGTTCTCAGGGGCAGCCATCCTTGGTGGTGCTGTTGGCAGTAGCTTCTCTCTACAGAAAAGCCAGAACTGAAAAATCTGGGAAATATGTGGAAGTGAAGCCTGATAAAGCACTGCCTGGGAAACATCTGTCTCTTTGAGTTCTTAACACAAAGTGCTGTGGTCTGCTTATCCTTCAACAATCAACTTTTGTAATAATCAGTTGGTTTTATTTTACCAGATGGGATCCCCTCTGGAGATGTTTGAAGACTCACAAACATTTTGCAAACACACATATTTTTATGCCTACTCGTTTGTAATTTGCATAAATAAGGAGATTAAACCTGCTATGCTACACATTTAATTACACTTGTTTCGGAAGGAGCTTTGGGGGTGGAATTTGATCCAAAGATGCACACATCTGCTGTTAATTAGGTATCAGAGATTATCTGACATCTTTCCATATTCTCAATTTTTTTTATTTTGAAACAAACTATTTATTTATCTTTGCTTTCCACATTAGGAATACCAGCTATTGTAATTGCCTTTGTGCTCATTATAAATAAGGACTTCTGTGGCAATGGGTCACTCTCTGAGATCCATCCTTACAGCAATTTGTAAGTATAATACTTTAAGCTTTTTGATGGTCACCAGAGTATTTGAAAAACACAAGAAATAACTAGAAATAACTCACTTTTGGCTCCTCTCCCCCATCTTCACCCTCTCCTTTTAGTGGTTCTGGTTCATAGGAACATGGCTACTACATGGAGTAATTTTCATATCAGCGAATTGGGCTTGAGGAAAGGGATGGTTTCTGCCAGTCAACTCCATTTCTATTTTCTGTGAATTTCTTTCTTTGCATTAACCCAGTCTAATGGGATATTTGCTTCTGCATGTTCTGGGTTTCTGGCAAACTCTAAAGGCACAATAATTGCTCCAGTATTTTGCACATGTCCTTCTGGTTTTTTGGTTTTGTTGCTGTTTTTGGGTTTTTTTTAATGTCAATTCACAACACTGTCTCATTGTTATTTCAAATAGAAAATTATTTATACCCCTAATTAAGTCATATTCTACTTGGTTTCCCTAAGGCTGTGTGTCTTTGTGTTTATACACTATTAAGTTGTGAAATAATTGTCAGCTTTATCTGAATTTTCCAGAAATATCCATGTCTTAAAGTCACTGAATTCCCATAACATCCATAAAAAAAGGCGAGTGCAGGGATTCTATTAATGTCCTCACTGGGGGGAAATAACGGGTGCTAGGGAATGCCCCTAACTAGGTGTTGGAGAACTATACAGAGTGCTTTTTTTAGGAACCAGACTTCCTGAGTTTCTCCCTCACAAAATTCCTTATTGAATACACACCTCCCTTTCTTGCAGTTGCTGGATCCAGGACAACACGGTGTTCTACATCTCTGTTGTGGCCTATTTCTTCTTAATATGTTTGATGAATACAGCCATGTTCATCACTGTTCTCCTTCAAATACACTCTGTGAAAACAAGGACACAAAAGACTTGCAGATTCTGGAAACGGGCTGTTCTCCAAGACCTCTAAAGTGCTTTCAGCCTGATGTTTCTTTTGGGCTTAACTTGGGGCTTTGCCTTTTTTGCCTGGGGAGCAGTGTGAGGGTATTTTTCTTGTATCTCTTCAGCATTTTTAACACCTTACAAGGTAATTTCTGAATGGAGTTATGCTATAAACACAAGGGTTTAAGGATGTGAAATAAAAATAAGTCTGTAATATCATGTCACTCAAGCATGGGTGAAGAGGAGAACCGATAGAGCTTTTGCATTACAGCTTCATGTATTTTAAAAGGAAAGCTCTGTTGCAGTGGGATGACAGTGTTGTTCAGATAACATTGCTGTGATAGGTAGACTATTAAAGACATGAAGTCATGCCTTGGAAACACAGGTCCCAATAACTGCACCTTGTCAGGAGCTGGCATGATCCTTTTCTGGGCATAAAAACAATTGACAGAATCCACATCGAATCGCAGGGTATTCTTAAACCAAATCTGCAGAAAATTCTTCCTGTCACCCTTTCATATGAACAAAGAAGTCAGTGCAATTCTGGGACAACATGATTATAAAATCATAGGGTGGCTTGGGTTGGAAGAGACCTTAAAGATCCTGATGCTGGGCCAGGAACGCTTTGCCCACAAAGAACGCACAGCTATCGGTGGCATGACAAAAGTTTAGAAAAGAGGCAGCAGGTTGGAGAACAAACATGAAAACCCATGAATCTCTCCTTTCTTCTTTAGGGTTCTTTATCTTTGTGTTTCACTGCCTAATGAAGGATGAAGTAGTGAAGCAGTGCCGATTATAATTCTGCTGGGGAAGATTTTGTCTGAGTGGTTATTCTGGTAAGCACTGAAGGGATTTGTTTAGTTGACTCATAAACCTTTGTCTGCTACTGGTGTCACATTTGTTCTGCGTTAAGAAATAAAGCTCCTCTCAACAGCCCCAATGCATTGCATTGGATAATTGTTCTTTAATAGGTCTTTATCCTCTTGTATTAACTGCTCATGTGATATGATGACAGGGTGACAGCATGCAGGAAAAACTGCAGATTTTAAAAACCGTTTTCAGCTCGGTCTCTTAATTCTGTTCTTACATGCCATTCAGTGTTCCCTTATGTGAGCCATGTTTTTTGGTGACTTTCCAGTCTTCATAAAGCTGAGATTCATAAATTTATGCTGAATACTGGGCATACTAGTTGCTATTTCTTTTATGTGCAGGAGCTGGATTTGCTCAGCCTGGGAAGGAGAAGAGAGATGTCTTGCTGTCTTTGGCTATCTGAGGGGTAGTCACAGAAAAGATACGAATTTTCAGAGGTGCACAGCAAGAAGACAAAAGGCAATGGACACAAGCCACAAGTGATGGAAATTCACGTTATTTATAAGGAAACATTTTTTTTTACTAGTTGGGTGGCTGTGACCCAGAGAGATGGTGGGGGAAGTCCCTCTCCATGAAGAGTCAAAATTCAGTTGGACAGATGCCAAGTCAACTTGACCCCACTCTGGGCAAGAGGTTGAAGACCTCCAAAGGCCCCTTCCAATCTAAATTATTCCAAGACTCTTCTGTTTGACAGCTCAGCAAGAAATAGCCTGTGTTGCGGTTTATTCCGGGCTACTCCAGTGATGTTGATTTTTTACAGAAATATAGATAACTCTGTGTGTCTATCAAAATGAAAAGATGTTATGAATGGGTCTAACAAAGGAAAAGCTTAACCAGTTTGTTTTCAGGAAACCATACTAAAAATCCTGTATTGATACCTGTGTCTTGTGCCCAGCATCCTGTGCTGCCGAGGAAGAGGCAGCTTTCCATTTGCAGAAGGGCAATTCAGCACAAGCGCTCTCAGTAGCAAGCAGTGTTCTCCCTTGAGCAGGAGCCAGCTCACTGTTGATCACACTATAGTCACAATAAGGACAAGGTTTCAATTCCTACCCTTTGTGTGACTCCTGCCTCCTTCTTTGTGTCCTTATCAAATTAATATTACTAGACTGGGTCCTCAAGGGGAAATAGAACACTGAATTGCTGGTATCCAGCCTCATCTGCACAAGTGTGATGGAGCTAATGTAAAAATCAACATTGTGCACTGTGTGGCCCCAGCCTCCAGGCAGGAATAAAGATGGCACAGGAAGCAAGTGCAGACCATTCCCTTCTGTGTTCTCTGGTAGTTTGAGATGTTGCACCTGTACAGAATTTTATTACTGCACCTTCCATTCTCTGATTTCAGGCTGGAGTGGGTCAGGTGCAACTGCTGGATCTATACCAAAGCATTTAAACCACAAATCACCATCCCAGGCTTTGCGGAGTCTACATTCTAATGGAACGAGTTCAACTTTCAATGCAGATTTGCTTCCCTGGACTTCCTCAGATACAAATTTTAAGATTGGTAAGAAAAACTATGCGTACACTGCATAGACTCTAATAGATATATATCATAATAAATTCCATATGGTGACAGCAAAATCCTAACTAATGGAAAGAAATAGGAAACCTTTCATGCCTTAGTCTGTGCCAGGCTTCCATTTGGGGATTAATGGGAACATTACAGATGGCTTTTGCTGTATTTGGGAAAATAAAAAATCTCTTAAAATCCTGGGATGGCTCCTCTCCAAAAGGACAGGAACTCCCTGCTCAGCTGCTCCTTAGGCACCTGAGGAATATTCTACCCTCTGCCAGCTGACTGATGCTCACATAGGACCTATTCCCAGTTAGGGAACACTAGAGTCTTGAGATAGACTCTGGTGCTCTCTAACTGGAATTGCATCCACAAAAGAGCAAAGATCTTGGGGATTTTAGAAAGCTAAACAGGTGTGAGCCTCTTTAAACCAGAAGAATCCCAGCAGAAGGTTTTGCCTTCAACGATGGAGAAATTGTTGCAGAGCTGTATTCTGAAAAAGGAATAGCACCAAGCATTCCTGGTTGTTTTTGGAAAAATGCTGATTTCTATTATTTCCCCGAAGACATTAAAACTGCATAGGCAAGTTCTTTCTAAATACATTAAACCAAGTTATTATAATGCAAAAATGTTCCAAATCCTTTCCCACAGCTGAAGTCCATTGAAACTCTGGTGCTGTATCTCCAGAAGATGAGACCAACCATCCTTTTTCACAAAGAATACTATTCATGGATACATGGATCCACAGAAAGCAGGATTTTTACACTGATACCGAATTTGTTTTCCTCTGCTTTTCTAACAGTGGTTCCTTTTGAGACTTGTAGAAACAAACATAGTCCTAAAGAATATCTTCTAATGTACAGTTATCACTCTGGACACAATTATAGTGCTAAAATATCCCATGACTCAACTTTAGGCTTCATTAGGAGTAGCAGTACTGACCACAAAAGGATTTGATCCCACTGTGTTTTCCAGATTAGTCCTCATGTTAAACAGAGACTGAAAACACTCCTGAGCCCCATTCCTAGTTCATCCTCCTTTTTTTTTCCCTTTCCGGTGTCCTGATAGCCGTCTGTTTCCATCTTCATCTGATACTTATCCCGGAATCTAATACCCATAATATTGAGTTACAAGCGGTATTTTTGGGGCTGTTGGCTGACTGTCTCAGGCATGGATATCTAGGGTCCTCAATCAGTATCTTTCCTTTTCTGAAATGGACTTTGACCAACATGAAGACATTTGACTCAGATTTCCAAGATGTTCCTCTCAGTCGTATGTTTTCATTTTCAGACATGCTGTCACTAGTGACTTGAACTTAGATTCCTAAAGAGATGTAGATGCATGTCTAAATGTTTGAAAATGTTGCCTAGTACCTTCAAATGGAATGTGGAAACAATAAAAAACTGAAATTCCCACCTTCAAGGGGTATCCATATGTATGATATGGATAGGTTGCAGATTATCTCTCCTGAAAAAAACTTCTAAACTAAACCCAAACAGAACAATAGCAGACAAAACCCTACTATCACTGGAGCTGGAAATAAGGAAGTTTCCCCATTAGTGTTGCTTTCCTGTGAATACAGCAGGATGTAAACTCCATTTTATGACATCACAAGAGAGACTTAACTTTCCTCACCTGCTGAGGAGGAGTTTTCTTTCAGCAAATGTGTTCAACTTGTTAACTTGCCCGCTCAACCGAATCCTAGTTTTCATTTTGAATGCCCTTCTCTGTATCATTCAAGAGAAGACTTTTAAATGACTGTTAATATAGTGGAAGACTAGCCTGTACCTATGACAGAGGAGAAAAATAATATAATGAAGTGATGTCTTAGAACTGGTACGTACAATACAAAATACAAAAGGTTCTTTGAGTCAGTGAATAACTCCCACACAGCAATTAGTGCAAAAAATATGAATATTTCAATGTACAGTAGCCATAGCCAACCTACTTGAAATCAGACAGATTGCCTTCAGTTCCTTGGCTCTATGGGAGAAATCTTGGCATTAAAAACATGCAAACAAGTTCCACCTTGTACCCTTGTGTTTCTAACTTGAAATTGCTTTCAAGGGGAATGAAATTTAATAAAAAAGGCAGTTCATTATGTTGGGCATGAACTATTTTATTTTTTTTATTTTCTTTAGTAAACTCTTTGTTCCGCAATCTGCTGTGGAATACCAGATTTCCCTGCTTTCCAGTGTGAAGCACAACACAGTGTGCTGTGGTGCTAAAGCTGTGCCTAACCCCCCTGCACCCTTAACCTGGCTACTGCACACCCCAGGGGGATCCTGAGAGACTAAGAAAAGAGGCTGTGTAGTTCTTCAGGGGAACTGGTGTACTCCCTCAAGCCCCTTCGAGACCAGTTTGTCTTCACTACATCAATAAGACCAGGTGGGTGGACAGTCTGATGTGTTTCTATCACCTTGCTTTGGCCCGTGCTTTCTCCTTTTGTGCAGTAATTCTTTCTGCATTCACTTCAGAGGACAGAAGATAATAGGTTTACATTTCAAATAGACATTAGGTAACCATTTCTATTTTTAGGGAATAAAAGGTCTAGAGAGCACATGGAATTGCCATGACTGCAGTGAAGTGAAATCCTTCCTATGTTATTTCACAGCATTCAATGCAAAGCACTCAGGGTGATGAGACAAGTATCTGCCAGAATTGGTAAAGATTGATTCTGCCTTAGAGCAAGTCCTCCTAAATATATTTTCTATGACTCTAAAATAAAAGGACAGCAAAAGAGGGCAAAACATGAGAGCAACATAAGACTGGCCTTCTTTCTTGCATACTGTAACTATTTTTTCACATTCCTGATAAAAGCTGAAACGTACCTTGATTTTCTAAAGTTTTTGCTACATGCCTTCATAACGGATTAGGAGCAACAAAGATTCAGATAAAAGCTGGAGAAGCAGCAAGAAAAGTGCTGGAATAGAGAAGACTTCTCAGGCTGTTGAGAAAAGTCTGGAAATGCCATTTCTTGGGCAGATCAATCTGCATGCTTCACACTGTGGAAGTGTACCAGTGGGAAGAAGGGCAAGCTGCACAGAGTGGAGGTCTCCATTCTTCCTACTGATGTTTTTTTTTGTTTTTTCTTAAAGCAAAATCTGGAGGCCAATTTTTAAAAACCTGTCAAGTTGCTTACATAAAATGCAAAGTACTATTTTTTCTGGGAAGACAGTTAGCTCACTTCCACTCTCCATCACATACGTAATGGCTTTTCCAGCTAAACAGTGTATCATTTGTGTTTAAAGCATGGCATTGTGTAAGTTGTCAGCTAGAATGAAGATGTGTAATTTTCCTTGGGCTGAAATAACGACTTCTGCACCATCACTGTTGCACTCGCTCTTCTTCAACATATCTGCACTGACATTCTGTCACAGAATTGTGCATTGATGGTTTTCACAGGGAGAGGACGCGCACAAGGACAAATCTAAAAAAAATTCTATGTGCTTGTGTTTCACATACTGATAATTTTAAATGATGGGAGCAGCTTCTGCAGCTCTGACTGGAGCGTGAGCAGCGTGTGACCCATACAAGTGCATTCTCCTCCTCCCTGATTGGATTCTATCAGTTGGCTTCTACCCATGGCAGAGGGCTGGAATGAGATGATCTTATGGTCCCTTTCAACCCAAACCACTCCACTATTCTATGACTCAATGTAAAAGCTGCTTTGATTTCTAGGTTACTCTCAATTTACTCCCAGATTGTTTATTTTTCGTGATACACATGCCAGGAAATGTGTGCTCTATTTTAAAGCAATAAAAGGATTTCAGAAGGTATACTTATCTATGAAGACAATTATTTGAAGTCAGATCTCAGTGGGTTGTTAACAATAGGTTAGATGATACAAAAGAAATTTAAAAATGACAGTAAAATCACAGCAGCAATTGTGGTAAATCGAACAAAACACTCCCCACTCCCACCTTACTATTTAGACTGACACAAAACTCCACCAGTCTTCACTGTAGCTAAGTCAGGGGATGCAGATCCAAGGTGTAGGCAGCTCACTCATAGGTTCCTGGATTCCTTTTTAAGTCTCTTCATGGACAAGCAGCTAAAGCTGTCTTCTAGTTCCGCATATGTATAGTGGTTTGGTAACCCTGGGATAGATACATGGGAGGACAGATAAAGGTCAGTACAGCTTGTTTAAGTTTCCTCCTGCCTGTATGAATCCGCAGTAGTAGTTAGCAGTACATCCAAGATGTATAATCCTTTCTAAATTTAGCAGACAGTTATTACTGGGACAACGAAAGAAATGTCATTACGGGAAATGATTTGAGATTAAGAATCAAAATACTGGGAGGATAATTGCCTATTGCATTAAGATGATTGTTGAGTGCTAATGCACAATTCTCTGTGCTTTTAGGTATCAGAAAGTATTTAGCATGTAATGGCACTTTAATGGTTTCAAATTACATATATTATGGAGAGTTTCAAGGATGCCCAGAAGAATTATCCTTGCTAAATTACTTCATTGCCTGATGGCTTCTGTAACTAGAGAAGTGTAAGGATATGTTCCGTTGTTTATTTTTCTCTCTTTTCTAATAAATTACACCAGTATTTTCCTGGATATTCCCATACTGAAACTGACTGAGGAAACTCCTGGAAAAGGAGGCTAGAAGGGATGCATGAATGGAAAAAGCAGGATAAAACGTATTTGGAGACATAGATTAATGACAGCATTTGAGATCCTGTTGCAGGCAAATTGCATCACACTAATTCCACTGAACAGTCTGGATTTGGGCCTTGTAACAAAATCAAAAACTCTTTTCTTATATTTTAAGCAAAAAGATACCCCATCTTGTTGCTGCATCACTGAATGCTCCTTTGGGCAGCTCCTCTGAACTGACCTTCCATCTCACTTTTGTAACGGTGAGGGCTGGGATGTTGTTATTTTTGCTCCTAGACATGCTGATAAGTCTTGTGGTATTTGAAAGTTTAATTGGGTAGCTCATCTTAGTTTCAAAGATCAGGTACACCATTCCAATTAAACATTGCTGCAGGATTTGATGCCCTGAGTCTCAGTACCTGCACAGCTCCCTCTGCCCTTGGTGTAAAATTAACTCCACGCAGATAAACCCAGAAATAAACCAATGTATTTTTCTCTTAAATAGGTAGTCTTTGACGATAAATGGTTACACTCTGCTGTGAATGTGACACAGATGAGGAAATTGTGTACCAGAAAACATTTTCCATTTTCATAGCTCAGTAGTTGTTTTGTCTCCAGCTGCTCAGGAGACTGGGCAATGGTAAAAAAGTCAATAGAGATGTTCCCACTTAGTGATGAAAACCATCAGATTGACAGACACTGAAATAAAGATCTTGTCATCACATGTGAAGAAATCCACTGTGGGCAGTGCCCTCTGCAACATCCCTCCCCTTTGCCTGAGACTTGCCGCTCTGAAGTAGATGCCTGGTAAGATGGGGAGGTGATGTTCTCTCTGTTTTTGGAGGCACTCGATGTGGTGCACGCAAATGACTTATTTCCGTTCTCCCAGAAGGACAGGGCAGAAGAGAACACAGCCCTGAATGTGCTGCTAATCTGCTCTGAACATGGACTGCTCTCTCTGACATGGATGCTCACTCCAGTGTGCATTCAGGCTTTTCTACTTAATACTTGCCTGCCTTAAAACTACAGAATGGATTGGGAGCAGTCACACAGCCATTAAATGGTTTTTGTCCCTCATCTTGCTGTTATATGTCATGCCATTGGCAATTTCAGTTTAAAGAGAAGACACTAAAGCCGTAACACCTTCTGACTGAGTCTGTAAGTCAAAGAAGGCAATTACACACACCCATCCCTGAGAAGGTTGTCTCTAGAGCAGGGACCCCTCTTCCCAAAACAAAAGTGGCAAAGCCAGTTCAGAAAACACTAGGAAGATAAATACATTTCAGAAGTCCTAGTAACAAATGCAAAGTCTGGCTTGTAAGCTGGAGTTGTTAAAGGACTCCAGGTCAGGACTTTTTGATGAAGGAGCACAAATCTTCCGATCATGTCAGATAAACATGACCTAAAAGGAAGGGTACTGGGATTTGTTGAAAGGGACAGATTTACATTGATCTGGTCAGACTGCTAGATTTAAATCAGTTTTCTCCATCCTGGGAGGAGTAGGAGAAATGTGCCAGTGGTGTCACAGAGGAAAGTCCTGCTTTGCACTACTGA